TACTTCTGCCAATTAGTTGCCGAACAAATGTCTCTGGGATTACCAAACGGGGCTCTATTTTTAACTCACCCACATACCAGCCTAGACCTGCCCTAATCTCCCTTCTAAGTTAGACCTGTAATTATCCTCATCCTTTCCTTCCTCATCGTCAGGTTCCTTATCAGTGACTCAGCTTCTTCGGTTCTCACGGTAACATCTCCTGTGGTAGATAGACAGTGCCCATGTGCACCTGGATGTTTTGAAGTATCTTACGTAACCTGGGTCTTACACATGTCTCTATTTCAGCAGCACGTACCTTTTATCTGCAAGCACAATCAGACAGCTGCTCTCCCAATGATTTATTACCCTATCGAAGTCTGGTATCATGTCCACGAGTGTTGGCACAGGGCCTTGCAGATCCAGGGCTGAGCGTCTGAATCCTGCTTCTGCTCCCTGTCTGTGTAGAGTTTGCATGTACTCCCTTTGTGTCTCTGAATTGCCTATGACTGTGAGTATATGTGCCCTGTGACGGACTGGAATCCCATCCCTGCCTTCTCTTTCCCGCCATAAGCTCCAGACTGACCCCAGACCCTGAGCTGTCTCAGTGCTTAGAAGTTGGATGGATGTTGGATTACATCGTAACAATATATACAGCTTATCTAGCTACAAGCCCTACTAGTCAGTACGTCCTTTAGTGTCTGAAAAGCCTTTTCCTGAATAACCTTCCTTACAGATGTGGGTAAAGGTGACAGTATGTTAAAAAGAACAGTAAATATGGAGATTTGTCACTTATCTTGTTGAAGCTTGATGACTGAAGTGAAGTTGTTTTTCCACTAGAAAACCAGTTAGCTGGACAGATCAACAGACAGGGAAGGCCGATACTTTAATATCACATGTGCAGCTATACTGGGAACATTTTATTATTCATTATAATTGATCATCAAATGCAGTTTTAAGGATTGTTACATGCTGGGCTTATTATAAATTTTATCGAGGACAAAAGCATAGGGACAGAAAGATCTGCAGCCTTTATATACCCCCAACAAGGACAAAAAAGTGGTACAAGTGCACACTGTCAAAATGATTGCAGTTATATTTCAGGTTCGACCCAGTGGCACAGATCAGCATTTAATATATTATCTCTGCACTTTTTGATGCCATACGGGGCCCTTGCAGCTAATGTGCAGTGAGCACTTGATGCGTGAAGCAGATCGGGGTGTAGATATGAAATGTCAACTGACTGCCTTCCCCTTTGGTAGCAGGCTGATGTGGTATCTGCAGGCATTGAAAATCCCCAAAGCTGAGCCAGTATTTCAAAACGACAACAGGAAGCCTTGCAGCTGTCCCCCCACCCTGATAATGCATGACTGCGCATATCCGCTGCCACTGCGGCAGTTTCTTCACTGTCTCCCCCCTATTGGTGTTTGCTGTGGACGATTGTATCAGGTGAGCTCGCTTCTCATGGCATGTAACTGCGTTCCAGCCTCATGATAACGCTGCCCATCAGTGGGGGGTGGGGGAGGGGGTATTGGTCAGATAAGTATGTGGCACGTGTGGCACATCACTGAATTGACCATGCAGGGATGCCCCCACCAAGTTTCAAGATGGAGGATGTACAGATAACCATGACCCTAACTCCCTTCCCGTAGAGCCTTGCCAGGATGCCCCATGCAGGCTGCAGGGAAATGGGGGGGGGGCTGCACATCTCTTCTTGTCTGTTCATCCCATCCATCCTTGTACATCTTTATCTATCTCTCTGTATCCCTGCCCATCCTTATGCATCTCTGCTTATCCCTGTGTATTCTAACTCATTCCAGTTCCTATCTGTCTAGTCATATACATCCCATCTGTTCCTATGCATCTCTGCTTTTCCCGATACATCCCTATGCATTCCTTTTTGTCTTTACATATCTCTGCTTATCCTGATGCATCCCTATACACCTTTGTATGGCCTTACACATCTCAGCTTTTTCCAATGCATCCCTATGCATCATTGTATGTTCTTACACATCTCTGCTTCTCCCAATGCATCCCCGAATGGCTGTACACATCTCTGTTCATCCCAATGCATCCCTAAGTATCCCTGGATATCCTACCCCTCTGCTTTTCCCAATGCATTCCCACGCTTCTGTGTTTATGCGTATCCATCTCTGTTTCTCCAAGGGCATCCATAAGTATCCCTTTATGTCCATATACATCTCTGATTTTCCCGATGCATCCTTATGTTTCACTGTATTTCTGTACACATCACTGCTTCTCCTACTGCATTCCTAAGCATCCCTACTGTATATGTCCTTATTAAGGCTTGGAAAGTTTTAAGCATTAATGCATAGTGTTCATTTTAAAGCCATACCGCCTTATTATTTCTTTGGTCGCATTAACGCATGCAGTATTTTGACACACAAATGGGAGAATGACCAATGATTTTTAGAGAGACCTGTAATATGCATTTCTGGTTGCAGGCAATGCAAGAGCTTCAGTTGCGATGTTTCACAGAATCCCGGAATTCACAGCATCTCACGGGAAATCTGACAGAGGGAGATGGCGAGAAACCATTGTTATTCCGTTCATTTCGTTTACAAATTGCCAGATGGAAGCATAAATCGGATAAAAATATTGTAACTTGCAATATTTGTTTTATTTAATTGAAGGCTAATGCCTTAAAAGGAGGATTCTTCCAAGTCCACTTTCAATGGTTGTCAGGCTTCCATCCTTAAAAACAATTTGCAAAATGCATCTGAGATGTACATGACTGTATAGGCCAGGGTTTCCCAAAATTCACCACATAAAGACTGTTAGTCTAGCACTAGTTTACAGTTAATTATTAGCT